TGTATAATATTTTATGGCGGTAGCTTCCAAACTTTAGAATGCATTAGAATAACCAAGAGGGCTTATTAAAAGCATATCACTGGCCCCCCCTTTCTAGCATCTCTGATTTAGTAAGTGTGGGTATGAGAATTTGCATTTCTAGTACGTTTCCTGGTTGTGCTAATGCTGCTGACCCAAGGAAGACCTCTGAGAAAATGTTTTTATGCTGTACTTTAAAAATTCCTTTTACAATTGAATCATCAGGGTTCAGTTGTCAGGTAGAGGTTCCTAAAATAAGAATGGCTGAATAATCTCTTGTATGTTATGTATGGTAAAAAGAAGATTCTGAAATTAATTTGCCAAATTTCATATGCTAAATCAGTGTTGAAGTACCTACTGGAATCCGTCTTACCATCCTTAGTGTTAGCATTAATGATACAAAGTATCTTTTAAATGAGGTCAGTATGATGAGGCTGAGAAATAGGATATAAGATGGTCATTATTGGCAAGTAGATAAGATATCTATTAAGAATAAACTCCACTGGCTAGCAGTCACTGTTTTTATGACCTGACCCCCATCCAACTTTTTGTTCCATCTCCAGATTCTCTTTCTTCTGGGCTATAAACAAACTGGACCTTCCTCAAATGATTTTTTACCTTCAAATTGGAAGATGGCTAAACTATTCTCTGCCTTTCTTCTCAATAAAATTCTGCTGCTCCGTATTCAGTTAATATGCTACCCCTTCCTTAGAACTTACCAGGGGGTTGTCTAGCCTTACCCCCTTCTTCACTCAGCATTTGCTACACAAGTGTTCATTAAATAAGAGGACAAAGAAAAGGGGGTAAGATTACAGATCTTTGTTTGGGGATGAGGTACCCAGGTAAGTGGGGCAGCTGTGGTAGGTTTCCATATTTTATATTCCTTTGCTTGGTGTTTATTTTTCTATTTTTGTGTTTAATTTTTTTTTCTTTTGAGATAGAGTCTACCTCTATAGAGTGCCGTGGCATCATAGCTCACAGCAACCTCAAACTCTTGAGCTTAATTGATTTTCTTGCCTCAGTCTCCCAAGTAGCTGGGACTACAGGTGCCCGCCACAACGCCCGGCTATTCTTTGGTTGCAGTTGTCATTGTTGTTTAGCTGACCCAGGCTGGGCTCAAACCCTCCAGCCTCGGTATATGTGGCCTGTGCCCTACTAACCTACAGGCACCACCAGTGTTAATTTTTAAGTGAACATACATAGTATAATATTCATTATGTGTATAGTTCTGTGGACCTGTGTATGGACTCACGTAATCACTGCCAAAATCAGTATAAAATAGTTCTGTTACCTTGTAAAATTTCTTTATGTTATTTTTGTACTCCCACCCTCCTTAAATTCCTACTGTCTGGCAACCACTGATTTGTTCTCTGCCACTATAATTTTGTCTTTTAAGAATGACATACAATGGAATCATGTAGGATATAAGCTTTGGAGACTGGCTTCTTTTGTTTAGCATAATGTTTTTGAGAATTATTTAAGTTGTTCAGCCTATCAAGAGTTTTGTATTTTTGTGTTTGCTTTTTATTTTTGGTGGA